CAGACCCCAGCTGAGGTCCTGTGTGGGTGGGGGGGGTGGGGGGGGATTTAAACCCCACTCTCCTCTCTGTTCAGCATGCTGAACTGGGCTGGTGTCTGGCCACAACCCCCGCTCGAGCAGGGAGCTGAGTAAAAGCCTATTAGAGGCTGCTCCACACCTGCCAGGCAGATCCCGGCTAGAGTCCCATGTGGGCAGGGGAAGGGGTTTAAACACCCTTTCCCCTCTGCCTCAGCATGTCATCCTAGGCCAGTGTCTGACCTGCCTGAGCATGGTAAAAGCCTGATAAAGGCTGCTCTGCCCCTGCCAGGCAGACCCTGGTTGGAGTCCTGTGTGGGCACGGAAGTGAGTTTAAACATCCCTCCCCTCTCCTCTACCTTGGTATGCTGGCCTGGGCTGGGGTCTGGGCATGCCTCCCTCTTCCCCCCCCAACCCCTGGTCCAGCAGGGATCAGGGGAAGTGCCTGGCAATGGCTCATTCCCACACCCACCAGCATACCCTGGCTGGGTTCCATGCAGGCCAAAGTGGGGTTTAACCCGCTCTAACCCCCATCAAACTCAGTGAGCCTGCCAGGGCCTGGCCATGCCCTCCCTCCTCCCCCTTCCAGCTTGAGCAGGGAGGAGAGGAAAGCCTCGGAGGGCTTCTCTCTCAGCTTCCCTCTAGCTTTCCAGCCACTGCCAAAGGGAAGGGAAGGCATGCTCTAGCCCCCTCCCCCTCCCCGCACCCCAGCTTCTGGCCTGAGCCACCACAGGTGTGTGGCTGCATTTGCAGAATCAAAAATAAATGTCTGTTCACTTTCTTTTTGGTTCAATCTATGCAGTTTAGACTAGCCTGCAAAGTTTGAATCAATTCAGCCTTAGGCTTTTTGACTGTCTATACTTAGCCACTAAGGCTCCTGATAACAGGTCTTCACTCCTAGTTCACAACTGTCCTCCATTTCTTCAATCAAACTGCTTTCATTTATATGGAGTCTCTTCTTTGCTCTTTTGTTCAACCTGTGTTAACTAGTTTCTCACTCCTGAGGAGGGTAACCTGATGCCTGAAACTTTGTCCAACAGTTCTTCCAACTATTTAGATGATCCAAAGAGGATAATCACAAAAAAAATCTTGCCTTTCATTCAATTCATTAGAAGTAAATTTCAAGTATAAAGCCTACTACTTAACGGAGGAAGAGAGCAAAGAATGTATAAGAAAGAAAAAGCAGAAGTACTAAATGATTTTTTGTTCCATTTCACAAAAAAAGTTAACCAAAACCAGATACGTAATTATTTTTAACATGGAGATAGGATCACAATTAAGAACAGGGAAACAGCAGCTAAACAATATGTACGTAAGGGAATGAATTCAAGTCAATAGAGCCAGGTGACATTCACACTAGGTTACTTAAAAACTAGTTAAGGAGCTTTGTAACCATCAGTGATTATTTTTGAAAACTCTTAAGATGAAAGGGTGAAAGGAGGGAAGTCCCAAACAACTGGGAAAGGGCAAAAGTATCTATTTTTTCAACAACAAAAAAAGGCGGTTTGAGGGTTGAAAATAAACACCCAGAAACGTATAGAGCAGACAGCCCAACTTCAATCCCCTAAAAGATTCTGGAAGAAATTAATTTATAAGCACCTAGAAAATAAGGTGATAAACAGCCAACAAGGATATGTCGAGAATGTGTCATGTCAGACCAAACTACTTTCCTTTTTTGACAGCATAACTTAGTGAATAAGGGGAAAGCAGTCGATGCAATAGATTTTGACTTTAATAGGACCTTTTGACATTGTGCCACATAACATTGATATTAACAAACTAGGGAAATCTGACCTAGATGTAAATCCCCATAAGGTGGGTGTGGAAGTGGTTAAAAAACTAGCTGTTGAAGAGACGTTATTAATGGTTCACCGACAAATGGGAATGATAACTTCGAGTAAAGAACTGTACAGATCTGTCCTGGAACCAGATCTATTCAATCTTTTCATTAACAACCTGAATGACAGGTTAAAGTGCATGTTTAAAAAAATCTGCAGACACCAAGCAGAAGAGGTTACAAACACTCTGGAAGACAGGATCAACCTCTCTAGGTTAAACATTGGAACAGATTACTACTCTTGTGGTAAGAGCTCTTCCTAATATCCAAACAAAATTTCCTTTGCTGCAACTTAAGACTACCATTTCTTTTCTTTTCCCCTGAAGCCAATGAGAACATTTTACCACCACCTTCTGTATAACCATCCTTAAGGTATTTGAAACCTGCTACAAATCTCCCCCGAGTTTTATCTTTGCCAGACTAAATAATAAGGTTTTTTGACTGTTTCTCATATCAATATATGTATACATTAGATGTGAAAGTGAGAATAAAACCACTTAATGTGATATAACAATTATTGCATTCTAACTGTAAAGTATATTGACCTAAAATGTCTAATTTTTTCAGCAATTTACATTAAAATAATTTTCCAGTTATAATACACCTTTTTTTGCTGTTCACATTAACTCAAATTTGCCAAATAATTATTTGTCTCTACTATAAATTATTTATTATACATTATATATGCAGAGGTAAATGCTTAATCAGAAACGCTGAATGTAGGATTATTAGAGTAAAACAGAAAGTAAAAGAAAAACCCAAACCTACCAAATAAGTTGGTTTTCACAGTGATAGATAAATGAGTATTGTTCCTAAGAATTTCCAAGGCTTTTGACAGTTGGATGTTTTCAAAGTTTTGACCATTCACCTCCAATATCTAAAAAGGTAAGCAAGAAAAATTTTCATCATTAGAACTTTAGAATATTTATCTCATTATATGCTATGACATTATATAGTATATTTAATTTGTTATATATGGTACAACACTTGGGGGAAGGGTGGGGAGGAAGAAAATTTCTTAACATTGTTTTAAATATTAACTTGAGAAACTCTAAAAACAAAAGTACCTGGTCACCACGTTTCAAGCCTGCTTCTGTGGCTTTGCTACCAAAATCCACACTGTCAACAAAGATTCCAAATCCCTTTTCTGACCCCCCCAGCAAGATAAAAGGTAAAGGGGCTTCTCGAGATGGCTTTGTTAATGTTATCAATCTTCGTTTAGCTTTAGCAGCACATGCAATATTTAACAGCCTCAGATGTCCACCCATTTTCTGCAAGGGAAAAAAAGTAGCATAATAATTAATTGCATGTATAATAGTTTGACTGCTTCTCACACAAACTTTTTTTCCTAAGAAAAACCATTATTCTTACCTCCCTTTCCAAATTGTTCTCAAATTCCTCTAAAAATTGAGTCATAGCAGGATCTCCTTCAAAATCATTGAAGTGATTATTGACCCACAACAACACTACCCGTGTAACCTGCAAGTAAATTAACAACATAAACATCTTCTGCTATACCCAGAGGTCAATTCTATTTCCAAATCCTGTTAAAAGATTAATTTCAGTTTCCATATATTTCACTAGTTAAATGTAAACATTTTGTCCAAGGCCAACCTCACTGACACTTGACTAGTCTGTCACCAAGGAGATATAAAAATCAGTAATAAATAATCCAACAAAAGCCACAGTTTTCAAAATAATATTAGTTAACTAAACCTGTTTCTGAGTATTATATAGAGTCTGCAGGACTAGAACATTTCAAGCCACTGCAGATCCTGACTTTACATTACCAGGAAATTGTGCTATGCTATATAAACTTACAGTTGTGATAACTGTTTACAAATGTACTATGTGTCTTTGGTAAGAGAACTACAACTTTAGAAAAGAAAAAGATTTTGAACTGCTTATTTTAGATTTTTTAATAGCATATCTTACAGGCTGTAACTCCGCTAAGAGGTTGCCTCTAAATACATAATAGTTCTTTAAACAAAAGCAGAAATGAAAACAGTTCTTATAGAATATTACATTTATTCCTAATTCTTTTCTTTAGATCAGGGTCTGTCCTGTCCTGTCCTGTCTAGACACTGATTTTGATTAGCAGCTTAAAAAAGATGCTCTTCTCCCCTTTCAAATTGCAAAACTTGTAGAGGTGCACTGATAGAGATTTTTGGGGCCAATACTGATAGCTGATATCTAAGGAGGCATATTGGTCGATACCGATTTGATGTCTGATACAGCTGCCTCGGGCTGGTAAGTGCAGTGTAGTGGAAAAGGAGGAGGAAGGGAAGGGGGGTGGGTGTGTGTGTGTGTTAACCTAATGTTAGATTTGTTTCTTCTCTGACACAAATGTGTTATCCCAAAAATCCGGCTCCCCAACCTCTGTGCTAACAAAACATGTTACTTAAAAAAAAACAAACAAAAAACTAGCATCGCCAAGAACCACTGCTCATTAAGAAAACCCTGGACTGATTCTAATTATATAAGGATAAAAAATTGATACTCTCATGCATTTGCACAATAACTAGAGCCATTGTAGTCTTTTGTGACAAGGATCTAAGATTAGAAGTATCTACAAATAGGCCTTAACATGAGTTGAAGCTGTATGGTCTATTATGTTAAGGACCCACAGATTAAAAAGCTTCCAAGTAGGTCCCTATGCATCTTGAAAAGCAAGCAAAATTAGAGTAATTGCTCAAATTCATAACATTGAAACTAATTAACTATTTTAGGCTTTTGAGCTATTTTAAGAGCTTACTAAAGATTAGATAATTGTACATAACGTGCTGAAACTCCTAAGCACGAGGTAGGGTAGGATAGAATTTTATTCTTGTTTTCTGAGATTTATTTTTCAAACAAGTCAGATGCGTCAATATTACTTTAACCTTTCCTGAAATGTTGTATATATAACATACTAAAGTTTCGAGTGAACAAAACCTAGCATGTGTAAGTAGCAAAATAAAATGTTCGCTAAACTTACAGAGTCAAAGAGTCAAAGGTTTAATTGTATTTTTTATTTTAAAGCTATTGTACATAAGGATTATTACTCGGACACTTCTTTAATTCGGGTGCTCCTTAAATTTTTTGCTTGAAAAGCATCACACTTCATATAGTAATAGTATATTAATTATTAGATAAGAATGGACAAGTTTCCAGGCAAAATTGAAATTGTGTTATAAAATGTCATTGTATAATATATAAGGGACTTTCTATTAAATTGATTTCTATTTGTTTATTATAAGCAATTACTATAAAATATAAAAGATTACAGCTCTGAAGAAATAACTATGATTTCTATAACTGAAAACACAATTGTCTTTCCTCTTAAAGAAGAGAAAACTAAGAGAAAAAAGGTAAAGAATAAGAACAAGACAAAAGCAAAGATGCATTTTACATGGAGAAAGACTAGTATTGTAAGAAACTACCATGATAGTTTCATTATTAGCATCACCATGGAGGCTGTGAATTACTGACATGCAAGTAGGACACATCAATGAAAAAGTTATACACTGACAGACTGAAAAATTGTGATGTGTTATCTACCCACATGTTAAAACTACCATGGGATAATTTCAGGGCTGATCCACCATTTTTATGCAGCGATAAACTAGTTTAGTATCTGGCATGTTATGGAATAATCGCATGCACAAATACAGATTTTCACAGGGATGGCAAGTTGAACAACAACACAAACCTATCCATCAGCAAAATTCTAAAGTTAAGAGCTACAACAATAGACCTTTGTTGAAAGGCAGGCTAGCTAGTCACATTTTGAACACTTATGAATTCAGTAATGTATTTCTTTTAACTAATTTGCAGAAATGGATATAATTTTCCAAAAGCTTCAGCCTAAAATAAACATGGTCAACTTCAACCCTATCAGTTGGGAAAGGTATAAGCAAACTAAAGCCAGGGTCTTATAAGGTAAAGTGCTATATAACTTTGACAGACACTGCCACACATCCTGTCAACAACTGAATGTGTTAGGCCCGACTCTCATGTCACACCATTACCTCTAAATAGAGGCTCCTATCTTTAGCACTGTGCAAAGTGAACCAAGAATCAGCCTTGTTTTTATTTTTTCCTTTAAATTTACCTTTAAGAAAATAATTATTAGTAGAAAGTGTTTACCAAATTGCTTTAACAATTATTGTGCACAGAAAATAAGGAACTGTCACAAACTTAACCCCTAAAGTACCACAGAATTATATATTAAATTGAAATGCTAGTGTCTTTTAGAAAGCTAATTCATACTTCTGCTACCTAAGCATCTTATGTATTGGAGTTGATTAAAGCATGAGTGCTTGAATGTGATCAAAGAAGTCCCTTTGCCTCTACCTTACAGAAAAAAAATGGAGTGGCATTACGTGATTAAAAGAAACAAAACAAAACATTTGTTTGCCTAACAGATCTCTAGCCGGACAGTTGACAAGTCTCCGATTCTTAAAAACTGAGCCAGAATACAAGTTCTTAATAGTTTATATTTTAATGCAAATGATAAGTCATAGGTATCAGTTTCAGATAGTAAATTTTTCCCCCAAACCTTGTCCCTGAGGCTAGGGTCACTGAACCACTCCAACAACTTCTTGCCCACATCCATTGGGCTGGAAAGAAAGGTCCGGTAGGTCAAAAGGAAATCCTCTATAAATGTTGGATCCACCACAGAGTGTTCTTCTACCAAATGCATCGTGAGCCTTTCAGCTGTTCCCTATAACAAACAAAGAATTAGTAATTAATGTACATAAATACCTCCTTATTTGCCTCACACAAGTATGATGCATTAAATATAGTGCATTGTTGCTAAGCCTATCTAGTTACAGGTCTCCTACATAATAAACTGAAGGCATACAAGCGATTACTAATAAGGAAGTTAATAAACTTTGGTAAAATACAAACAGTCTCAAAAATTAGCAATTCTTTACATCTAATTTTAAATATAAACATTAAACATACACATCTAACTCTCTGTGCCCTTGCTCATCAATGAAGGTTCTGTATGATTTTACAGAGCATCTGGGTGGGTGGTATGCTTTGTTTTTTTACCTTGATGACAATGTGACCCTTCCTCGTTCCAGTGCGATCCAGCTCTCTGTGCTCCTTCACCATAACAATCTCTCCCTCCTCCTCCACCTTCTGCATATTCTTTTCCACTTGATTGAGGATGCGGCAATAATCTTGCTGGGCTATGCATACAAACTGAAAAGCATCATCAAGCAAAGATATTAAAAGATACAGAGTCCTTAAAAAGGCTGTATGGATTTACAATACATGTACTTTATTTTTTATGGCAGGTGACTAACTTCTCAACCTTGGTAGATCAAATTTGCCTTTCCATAAGTTCAACTAGAATAAACCATTAAACAAAAAATGGTGATAAATTCCTCACTAATTTTTGGTTTAGCAGTGTGTTAATACTCCGGATGATTAAATTCAAGGTGACTTAATATTGGCACAGAATTTTTTTATATATTGTATTTCCCGATTTGTTGATCTCCAGAAAAAGATAATTCAGAAATATTCTTCACAGAAACACCGTGGTTTTGGTCCTTTCTGGGGCTCGATAAGCTAATTTTCACTTTATATTCTTGGAACAGATATATTAAGCTAGCCATTAAGAGAACTTTAACATTAATGTATTAATTATACGTTAACTGACAAGTCAGTCAATTAACGTATGACCGGTGGAGCAGGTCAGACTGGCTGACCTGCTCCACCGGGCTTTAAACTAAGCCCGTTGGGGGACAGGGGGACTACC